TGTAAAACTAGTTGGGCCAGCGTAAGGCCTATTGGGCAAACTAGAATTTAATGATCCTACCCCGAGAGATCAACGGGGTCCCGTGGGGCCGGGAACCCCTTCTCCATCCCCGTTCCTGTGAATCATGGGGACGGGGATCCCCGCGAAAATTCTTGACAGGAGGTAGATTTTACCTCCGTTCTCATTTTTCAAGGGGAACGGGGATCTCCATTCCCCACCAATTAACATCAAATAGCTTTGGCAACAGTAGCAAAGCAGATGGCTTAGGCTGTTCGGCGGCGGCAACAGTAGCAGCAGGCTCCGATGGCGGTAGCAGCAACAGCAGCAGTAGCAGATGGGTCCAACAGTAGCAGTAGATGGGTCCGGTAGCAGTAGATGGGTCCGGCAGCAGCAGTAGATGGCTCCTGTAGCAGCAGCAGATGGCTCCTGCAGCAGCATCAGAGCAGATGGCTTTGGCTGTTCAGCGGAAGCAGCAGCAACAGATGGCTTTGGCTATTCAACGGCAGCAGCAGCAGCAGATGGGTCCGGTGGTGGCAACAACAGATGGGTCTGGTGGTGGCAGCAGCATATGGTCCGGCAGCAACAGCAGATGGCTCTAGTGGCAACAGTAGGCTCTAGTGGCAACAGTAGCAACAGCAGGGAAACTAAAGGTGAGATGGACGTGAGAGATATGTGAAGCTGCAGTTAAAGAAATTGAGTGATGGGAATTAAAATAAATTAGGGTTAGGGTTAAATGTAGGGGAATGGGTTGGGTTGGGTTGGGAGTTGGGTTGTGTTGGGTTGGATAGTATTGGGTTAAATTTAATTGTAATTGGATTAAATTTGAGTTTGGGTTTAGGTTTGAATTTGGGTTTGGGTTTGAGTTTAAAGAATAAATTAATTTTAAAATAAAATTTTTTTTTTCAAGGATGAGGATCCTCGTGAAGCCCCATGGGGCGGAGAAAATTTCCCATAAATTTCACGGGGAAAAAATGATCCCCGTTCCCGTCTCCGTCCGCGTCCCGTGGAGAGAAATATTCCTCTCCACCCCATCCCCGTGGGGCCACGGGGAACGAGGAGAATTGCCATCCCTACTACTCCTTAAAACAATCTACAAATGTAACTCCTCACATCCAAGAATTGTTTTCAACGTGGAAGACGTATTCATTTTATATTTTATATTTAAATACGTATGAGTAAAAAAGAAAACTCTCAAAAATATTTTTTTTCCCAAGTCAGGTGGTTTTTTTTTTTAATCAATGTCATGTCATTGTCCAATCATCGTCTTTTGTTAACGGGCCACAAAAATGAAACAGAAAAATGATGTTTTCTAACGTCATCCTTAACAGAAGGGGTGATTTGCGGATTTCATGTAGTAGAAGGGCTGATTTGCCAGTGTTTCTTGTACAGGGGCTGAATTGCCACAACATTGCAGGTACAGGGGCTGAATTGCACCTTCTGCCTTTTATGTTGAGTTAAAGAAGTCTCCTTTCTCAGGTCTTTCATCAATAACTCTTCTCTTTCAATCTCCTTGCTCAATCCTTGTCTGCAAAAATGGCAGAGGCA